CTATATCTATATCTATATCTATATCTATATCTATATCTATATCTATATCTATATCTATATCTATATCTATATCTATATCTATATCTATATCTATATCTATATCTATATCTATATCTATATCTGTATCTGTATCTGTATCTGTATCTGTATCTGTATCTGTATCTGTATATCGCTCTATCTATATATCGCTCTATCAATATATCTATATATCTCTATCTATATATCGGCATTTAACTTAACTCTAATCTGAATTATACGATAAAGATCTGGACAACAAGTATTTCACTTGTTTTCACAATCTTGTCTACAATATTGTTGACAATATTGTGGAAAGATCTTGATGTCACATAATTTCTAGTGTCTCTGCCACGCCTACAGCTGCCTGCTGTGACTGAGTCACGCACACACACACACACACACACTCACATGTGTGTGTATGGTCAGTGTGTGTTATTTTACTGTCGCACGTTTCGCAGTTAATTTATATTCATAAGTCAAATTGGTGTACAATTACCGCCCGATTATGAAAACGAGCAACAGCGGGCGTCCAACAGCGAAACGTTTGTCAAAATCAACCCCACCAAAGCGCCGAAGCCTCCGACCCCGGTCACCCGCCAATTGCTGTGAGAAGGGTCGCTTCTTGGGTGCTTTGTTGGGTAAAAAAAAGAAAACACAAAAGTGGAACTGGGTCTGGTTGTGCGCCAAGCAGCCATATGGAGCGAGCTGCTGCTGCTGCTGTTGCTGCTATTTCTATTTTTTAATGCGGCGACAACTTAAAACAACAACAGCAACAACATAAAGGAGCAACCCCCGAATGACACTTGGCAAGTATTTTTCTCTGGCTGCTCCTGCTATCTCCCCAAGGATCAGCAACAGGAACAGGAGCAGCAAGCGCGTTGCCATGCCAAGCGGGTCGTGTGGGCTGTAGCCAAACGGGCGCTGGCTTGGACTCCATGTGGAACTAGAGCTCGGGCCAGAGTAGTAGTTGTAGTTGATGAGCTGGCGCCTCGTTGCGAGCGGGCGTCACTCGCCTTCTTGCTGTGTTGTGTCAGGACATGTCACCTACACACAGCCACATGTAGATGCTTCCGAGAGAGCGGGAACGAAGGGGCAGGGGAATGGATGAGAGCCAGAGTGCGAGGCAGTCTCGAGTCTGAGTTGCCCTGTGGCGCTGGGCGGCATTAACGAGCCAGTCCGTGCGACAGCTATAGAGTCAAGGAGTCATGCAGCCATGGCTGCTGGGCATGGCCGGTAAAGCTAAAGCCAAAGCCAAAGCCTGAGCCAGAGCCATAGCCAGAGCCAGAGCCCGAGCCAGTGCCAGTTGCCGCATATCCTTATGGCCATGCCAAGCTAAGCCGTCAACTTGTCATCGTCATGAAAAATCTGTGAAGTCAGCCACAATTTTGGCGCCAGTCTGCTTAGCAGCCAGCTGTGCGTGTGGATGCGTGTGACCCAAGAAACCAACCACCCCAACACGCACATCCTTATGAGACTTTCTCTCGCTCTCTCTCTGTCTCTCTCTTATGCGCTCCTTGACGTGGTGGGGTTGTGGGCTGTGGGTTTGGGGTTTGAGCGTCAAAATCATTCCGCAATGCTTCATTTTAATTTGCCCGCACAGCATTCGAGCTGCGGCGAGGGGCAGCTGCACGCATTTGCTTAAACGTATTCAAAGCGCGTGTTCGACGTCAGGAGCCAAGCCCCGACCGCAGTGCGTCCCCTTTTACTATCCCTCTTAATGCTCCTGTCGCGCTAGTGGCATGCGGCTTTAGTTTTAATTTAGTTATTGTTGCCACTTCAATTGGATTCACCAGGAGCTGGAGCAGAAGCAGCGGGAATAGCAGTCTCTGTCTTTATATAGCATGTCCATATACTTCATACCCTCGCTCATTCTATATATATATATATATATATCTCTTTCTGCTTCTCTCGCTCTCTCCCTTTAGTCACTTTTGACTTGTATTAAATCCAAGTTTTATCGAGCGCTCCTTTGGGCTTTGCGCCCGCTGATTTTTCGATTTTGAAAATGAGGTCATGAGACGCGGCACGTTTGCCATATGGGAATATACCGTTAGCCTTTGAAATCGTCAAGTCCAGTTGACGCTGCCGCCGCTGGGAGCAGCGCCGCTCAGGATATTTATTTGCCTTGAAGTAGACAACACTTTTTTCCACTTTAATCTACGAAGTTGGCGCAGTGTGGCACGGCCTGGCGTTACCCTGCAATTCAATTTGCATTTGCATGTTCTTGTAAAAGTTCTGAATTAAGGCATAATACAACTGAATGCAACATTTTGTAACTCTATTTATTTTATATAATTAAATCTAAACACTGCTGTAGCTCATACTTATTTATTGAACATTTAAGGTATTCAAATTCAAATCAAACTGATTAGTCATTGTTTGACTTTGGACTAGAAATGTTACCTATCGCGCTTGAGCTTTCAATACGCTTCTAAAGACACTTTTCATATATAGACTAAGAATGCTTACAATTCAATTTTGAACACAAAAGCCAACTATTGGGCTTAACTTAGTAACTAAGTCGTAGGCCAAGCTCTTCTATGCCTATCTGAAAGTGCTACTCCGACTACCAAAACTAGTTTTAACAATTCAAAAATATCTTTATTTATCAATGAGAAAATGTCTGATAAAGCAAGCCAACCGAAGGAAGAGGGAGGAGTGGATGGAGCTTAGGACACTTGAGAAGAGCGGCAGCTGCTCAGCTGCTCAGCTCACTATGGGTTAAGTAAATGGCAAATGCAGATACCAAAACTCTGTAAACAAAAAGATTTAAAGATAGATATTTTAGTTAAATATAGTTCAAAGTATATACTTGAACAGTGAAACTATTTCGTGCAGATGTGCCCGACTTAATTCACATACCTCAGTCTCTCATCTTATTAAAATCATAAATGCCCAAATAGCATAGCCTATGTGGTATAAAATACGCACGGATTACAGGGTATGAGCAGTGAAAAACGCATTATTGATGCGTTGCCAGGCCACGCGCCAGCTAAAGAAGTTCCCGCACTGCGCTGCCTGCTGGCTGTTGCTGGCCCTGGCAAGAAGTGGGCTTAGAGTACGCCAAAAAGTTTTCTTGTTTGTTTAAATGCGAAAATGTAGCAACTACAAATGTGGCAACAACAAGCAAGTTCCATTAGCGGCGGCGCGGATTGAAGCACTTCAACCTTGCTCTCCTCCCGGCTTACGACTTTGGCTTTTTGGCCTGGTCGACGACGGCTTAGCCACGGCTAATGATACACTCCCGCTGGAAATTATAAAGTGCCAGTCATTTCCGAATAGCACGCATAACGCCACTACAATTAATTTTGGGGCGGCAATCCCAGCAGCCCACCCACATGGATGGAGGCAGCTTGAGACAGCACAGCACAGCACAGCGACAGCGACAGCGACATCGACATCGAGTCAAAGTCAAAGTACACTTCAGTTGATTTTAAAGCCAAGTTAAGTCGCTGGCAGTGAAGATGCTGCTGCTCTAGCTGTAACCTAGCAGCTAGAGCTGAGCACGCAGAGCATTTACAAATTAGACGGGAAACAGCGACTGCTGCTGTTGCCCTCAAAAGCCAAACAATTAGCTCAAGTGGCTTAGCAGCGGGCGTCTGATTGAAATTAAGTGCAATTCAAATGGCGACACGAAACGTATGCAATAAAAGCAATTTACCTAAAGCCCAGCCCAGCCCAGCTCAGCTCAGCCCACTCCAGTTTCAGCTGTCACGCCCACACAAACGCCCCTATTCTCGCTCACTCTAGGTGCCTCTATAATAGAGTCTGCTGTCGCCAGTAGCCAGTGGCCAGTAACCGGTCTCAATCTCAAAGCTTCGTTTTTTTTGCTTCTTTCAATTGACTACAAAGCGTATTGTGCGTCGCCGAGGGGGGGTCGGCAATGGGCGTGGCCGTGGAGGGGGTCAATTTTTGTTTGTCTGAGCTGCGGCATTAGCTCAACGCGCAGCAGGTTGCCAATGTTGTCTATTGTTCGCTCTGTGTTTTTTTCTTCGCTCCTTTCCTCTTTTCTCTGGATCTGTGTCCTCTTATGGTCTTGTGTTTCCTTTCGCCCCCCTTTCTGCAGCGTCCGCCTCCAATGCATATAATTGATTTGTGCCTTCTCCTTCTCAATTTGGCTGGCATTTTGAACGATTTCGCCTCCTGTTCAATTGAATGGAAACTTAAATATACATATGTATATTGAGATCTCCCACTATGCTCTATGCATGTCCATTGTCCATGCTTGTGTCCATGTCCATGGCCGTGTCCATGCTTACAAATCATTGGCTTTTGCATTTAGTCCTTGCCAAGAAGCAATTCGAATATTTTATTTCAATCTAATAACCCCAAACCGATTCTCAGCCTCAGATTTACCTTTAGCTACAGTCACAGCCACAGCCACAGCCACAGCATCTCCTTTTAATGCTTCAAGCACTGTGGCTCCTGCCGTCCATTTATCCTACCGTCCGCTGCTTTGGTCGTCTCTCCTGCGGCATTTGTCACGTTACAGGTTTTTCGGTTTCATTTTTTTTCTTTTTTTTTTGTTATTAATCTCAATTTGCCCCCCTTTCACCCAGATACAATTCTGATTTGTGAATCCTGAATGTTCGACTCCAAATGCGATGCGCTGTTTACGTTCACGCTGCGAATCGAACGTGCTTCAGTTGCCAGCAACGACATATCCATTGGCTGGCTCGCATTCTGGATACACTCCATTGAAAATACATTTACTAATCCCCGAATCCTTTCATTGATACTTCCCCAGATGCAGCTTAAGCCCATTCGCACATTATTGAATCATCGACAAGGACTTAAGCGGCAGAGAATGACTTAATTGGACTTAGTGCGACTGAGGACAATAACTCAAAGTGATATAGCTTCAAATGATGGTTATTAGAAACATATGTCTAAGAGGTTTAACATATTTGCCTTTTCTTTCTATGATTAACTGACATGATCAATGTGAGAGAAATTTACAACTTGAAAATCCAGAGTTCAGTTAACAAACTAAGGGAATAAGTAAGCCAGGAACTAGGAAATAAAGCGAGAAGCTAAGTAATAAAAAGTAAGCAAAGTAAATGCGATTCTCTGACTTCACAATACTTATCTTTTCGCTTCTTTCTCGCTATCTCTAACTCTGTCAAGTTAAGATATCTCTTATAGCTCAATTAGGCAATCAGTCAAGACGAGAAGCAAGGCGAGAAGCAAAAAAGCAGTCTGAAATATAAGAAAGAATCTCTTCGCTTCTTCCGCATCTTATGATAGTTAAATCAGTCAAGGCATAAGAAATATAAATGCAACAAGCCTAAGAGAGCCTTTGCTCCACTATCACTTATCTCTTCGCTTCTCTTAAGTCTTTTAGCAGATCAATCATTCAGGGCGTCAACAAAGCAAGAAGTAAAAGAAATACAGAAGACAAAAGAGATCTACATCACTTAGTTTAATCAACCAGGGAGAAGTTCAGAAGACCAAAGAAAACATTTGCTTCTTCAATATTATCTCTTCGCTTCTCTCATAAGCTATGCTTCTTTCATGAGTCAGTTAGCCAATGATCACTTAAGCAAAGCTAGAAGTAAAGAAGTGCCTAACACTTATCATTTCGCTTCTCTCATAGCATCAAGCAAAGAGCAAAGATAGACTCCAGTCACGAGCTAAATCCAGTAGACACTGCGCTTATCTCTTTGCTTCACCTACAAGCTTAACTTCCTATATAATTGAAACTGCCAAACACACCCCATTCACAAGATCTAAAAGTGCTAGAAAATAGTCGTTGTCCATTGAAGGATATATCTTTCTATATAATTAATGGCCGTTGGGCTTGTCTCTGTTGCATAGTGTACATTGAATTCGTTTAGTTAACTGCATTAAAAAGATATCAGTGCCCGGCGGCTATGCAGCCATTTAAATGGGCGTGTCTAACGCTTGACCATGGGCGGTAAATTAAAAAAGAGCTAAAAAATACAGTGAAAACCCGAAACAAAAACTCAAAAACGATGTGCAGCAAAAAAACTTGGCCTTTGCGAATACCCTACCTCAGGGTAGGCTAGGCATATGCACTTTCAGGCAGACTCTGTGCCAGCTCAACTCTGTTCGCTGCAGTCGAAATTGAACAGGTGTAGCGCACTTTAGGGAGATTTTTTTTTTGCGTTTGTATTGCAGCAACAAATATTGATGCTCTTACTGTTGTGACAGGTCGAACAATTGAAGTGGGCGTGGCAAGCGGTAGGAGTCCGAGTGGGCAGCTCACACTGGCTGTCTGCCGCCGCTTGCCACTCGCTGGACAAAAACAAAGCCGTACGAAAATTGGTCCATTTTTTGCTGTTGTTGTTTCTGTGCAGTAAATATTTTCAGCAAGCACAAAGCTGAAATCACATTTGGCGCCGAGGTGCGAGTGTGCGATTTAGGACGTGGCTGGCCAGCCAGCCAGCCAGCCAGACAGGCAGCAAGGATGACGGGAGGATACCTGAACACAAAGCAGAGCAAAGGACACGAGTCAATAGCGAAAAAAAGCAAATAGAGATTTCCATTTGCTGCCCCAGCACGCGCCCTGACTAAATTATGATACAGTTTTAGCACTTATATATATAAGTGAGTGTATGGGTGTGTGTGTGTTCCACTAAAAGTATTTATACCCATCGAAAGTTTTAGCCACAGACAGGACAGGACAGGCACAGGCACAGGCACAGGCACTGGCACAGCAGCCTGCTGTTAGCTGGTTTTGTAAGACTGTAAGTTAATTATATGCTCGTCCCAGTGCTCGTGTTCTAGCTGTTGTTTGGTTACTCGAAACGCAAATATTCAACTCGACTGGCAGCAAAAGGCTTCCTTGCATAATGGTTCCAGCATAGCGATAATGAGTGCCATGGCAACGCCAGGATAAGCATAGGTAAAAGGACACCACGGCCAGCTGTTGCGCAATGATAAGGCCAGCCATATTGTCGCAACTCGTCCACATGATCTATTTATACCTAATAAGCACATGAAACAAACTCAGCTCTATAGAAACTGTGACAAAGGATTAAAATGTCATCGCCACTTGCAAATGACTGGGAAATGTTGAAATATTTTCAAGAAACTCCTAGCAGCCGAGATAAGTTTTTAATTAATTACAGATTTATGTCAATATCAAACGAAATTTTCTAACTGGTTCAACAATCAAGAGCTGTCAAGTGAAGCCCAAAGCGAGAAGTCCTCTAGGGAGTTAATTCAGAACTAGATCGAAAATTGAAGTATGAACCTTGGCAAGAAGAGAAATGAGAAGTTAAGCGAGCTGTCAAGTAAAGCCCAAAGCGAGAAGCACTGCAAGAAGTTAATATAGAATAGTCAGAGCTTTAGAGGTAGTCAAAATACAGACGAATTTAAGTAGAGAAGTACGAAGTTAAGCTGTCAAGGGAAGCGAAAGGCACTCCAGGAAGTTAATTCAAAACTCAATCGAAAATTGAAGTATGAACCTTGGCGAGAAGAGAAATGAGAAGTTAAGCGGGCTGTCAAGTAAATTCCAGAGCAAGAAACAGTGCAAGAAGTTAATAAGGAACTAGTGTCAGAGCTTTAGCGATAAGAGTAAATCAAGCTGAGATGCATGAAATTGCGCGAGCTGTCAAATAACACCCAAAGCGAGAAGCAACGCAAGAAGTAAATCCAGAAATAAACCTTAGCTAAAACAAACAGCTGAAGACCACAGTGAAGACAAGCGAGAAATGAAATAAACAAGCGAAAAGCAAAGGAAGCAGCTAACTGAGAAGTTAAACAAAAGCCAAAGCGAAAAATAAACTCAAAAACAAAATCAAAAACTTCAACCAAAGGCAGAAAAAAAAAAACAACTCACAAAGCAACTAGAGTATTGAGAGAGGTAAATGCAAATCGATGAGCCAAAGATGAAACTTTGCTGATTGCTTTTTAACACTTCGCTGCTGCTCTCTGCTGACTTGCTCGAACTGTCGCTTCTCTCTGCGCTTCTCCATTTTCAGTTCACTTCTCTCAATGGCAACTCTAATAGTTTTATGGTTATGTTCGCTCAACTAATAACTTTCCATTTCGCAGCGCTTCTCTCTCTTCGCTTCTTCAAGGGCCGCCAATCAGTTGGATACGTGCTGCTATCTGTGCTTGCAATCCGAGCCAATTACTTGAATATTGCCAAACAAATTGTTAGGATAATTTGGTTGCTTTGCAGCACAAATTTGTTGTCCTGTTGCTGCAGCTGCTGCTTGGCAACTTTTTAATTGCAGTCGCATAAGCTTATTGCAGTCGAAAACCAAAAGCTTTGCTGTTGCTTCCAAATGCTGCCACGCCAAAAGTTTTGCTTTGATTCGGATCCTGCATGGACAACTAGTTCGCAACTACGATGAACTCTGCCCCCACACATTCCGGCTGCATTAAAGGCATGCTTTAAGCATATGTGATACATCTACCTATGGATGTAGCCTATCGCATGGATACATGCGTCAGGCATGAATGCTGTTGTTGTATTTTGTTGAATGCTTAGGTTTGGTTTCCTGGAAAAGTCATAAAAGCGTACAAAAGCAACTGGCTGGCAAAGAAATGCCAAGCCAAACAATACAATTTGTTACCAATTAAATGACTGCATTACATAATAATAATAATAATAACAACCAGCAACAGAAACAACAACAAGAACTGCCTGAAGTGGCAGCTGTTGCCGCCAACCCCCGCCAGCAGCCATTACGGCTGAATTGTGTGACAGACAGGGCAACTGTTCTTATTATACCCATTGTCAAGAAATTAATAGGGTATCATATTTGTCAATGCGGGCATATGTAGTATTTGACTAAGCTAAGCTATATAATATTAAATTACACAGATAATGAGATAATATGTTGAGCCGAAGGCGTCAGACAGCGAAGCTGTAAACAGATTTTTGAAGTCGTGTTACAGCTGGAAAAACATTATTTTTCCAAAGTATAGTTAGCTTAATTTAAGCTGCTAATTCCCCCTTTAAAAGCCTTTTTACACTTTTAACAAATCTTTAGAGTAAATTTAAATAAATTTAGAGTAAGAGATGGAGCGAGGGAAAGGAGCATCTATAGAGCAATAATTCATTATATTCTCAGCTTAACTGACTTAAGATACGAGTTTAACACGTCAAGAGCTGACGAAAAGCATATGCTCTGATGCTTGCTAGAAAATGTATCAAGATCTTATTAGCCTTTATAGTAATTCTAATCTGATTGACCTGAGCCAATACTCAAAGCGGCTTAGCTCTTTCAGACTGTCAGTTTTAAATTGAAGATAAACCTTTTTCGTTTAATATAAATATATTTTATATATATTCAATATCTGTTTGAGACTTATATGTTACATAAATATATGTTATATATTTATATAAATTATTATAAATTGGGTAAGCTTCTGTGCTCTTACCAATCTCTTAATATTGTTCCATTGTATTATGAGCCTGAGTTCTTGAAGCTATAATAATCAATGACTATAAGATATAACTTTGTATGTATGGCGAATTCAAATGAAGTATTTGTACTTGTATTTGTAAGTCCATATCGAGTTCAGGGTATACAACTAGTCGAGCACTCTCAAGCAAACAATATTTACTTGTTCCAATTGCTGTTGTTGTTCTTGCTGCTATTACGCTTGGCGTCAACGAAGCCAGCTAAGTGTGTGTATTTGTGTGTGTTTGTGTGTGGGTGTCTGTGTGTGTGTTATGAGCATACGTAAGCATACAGCATCCCCGGATCCGGGCAACGCATATTGGTTGTCAAAGTAACCGAATCAATGGGATACAACACGGGACGCGCTCAAGGACTCTTTGGGGCAACATCTTTTTATTATTGGCAGGTGAGCGCTAAAAAAAATCAGCAGCAACAACAACAGCAGCAGCAGCAAAAACAAAGCAAAAGGAAAATTTTATATTACTTCATTATGTGTTATGCTTTTTGATTTGATACCTTAATTTGGTCCAGCTCCAGCTCTAGGTATTTTAACAAATTGAATATCCCCATTCATTAGCAAAATTAGCAGGAGAATTTCAATATGCGCCCCACAGCAATTAAAATAGAATCAAACGCATATTTATTTATATCAAAATATATATATATAAATGTTTATTAGCAATATTTATGTGTGTGTGTGTTCTGTGTGTGTTGCAATTAAATTTACAAATTGCAAACAATTTATTCATTTGTGATTTTTGTTTATTCTTGTTTTATTGACTTTTTCTCGTTCTTTAATAATTACCAACATTATTTCGAAAGGCCAAAATAATTTCACCAAAAGTTATACAAATACTTTTTCCACAATTCTATCCTCTATTTTCTCCTGCTTTTCTTTTTTAGTTTTTCACACACACAATTACATACATGTTCATATAGAGCGCTTACTATTTCTATGCACAATTATTGTTTGTTTTTTATTTTATTTCATTTATTTATATTCATCAATTAGTTCAGTTCTCTATGCTACAATTTAGTGGTTCAATTCAAAACTATTTGTGTATTTAATTAGTAAATTGTGTACTTAGTTGTGTGTGTGTGTGTGTGTGTATATGTGTGTGTGTGGGTGTTTGGCTGCTTAGTGAGCTGTCCATCAATACGTGCTAATGCCTTAAAGCGAACTAAAACTCTTAAAGCTTTTGCAGTTTTTAAATATCTGGCAACGCCACGCCTGCATTGGCCCATAAAGTAAACATGCATTTCTTAAGCTACACAAAATTGTAGACAATTATTAAAGTGTTCTGCTAATGACTTGAATTTAACTGAAACTGCGTTACTTTTAACCTTTCATTGATCTGGCAACGCTAAAGATGAGTTTCTTATTAGACTAAGTTAATGATAATCGAGCTTTATTTTTAGAATTATCAGTTTGTTAGAGTAGACTGGCAATAAACTGGCAACGCCTTAAATTAAGCCAAAAGTTTTTGAAAATGTTCAGCATTTTATTATCTGGCAACTTTAATCAATATAATTAGCTTTCTTTATAGTTTAATATGATAAGGATTTAAATAATCAGTTGCTTAATACAAAGAGTTTAAGTTTAGCAGATCTGGCAACGTCAGTGCTTTAAAGGCGTTATTAAGTTGGCTGCGCTTAAATTGTCGTTGTTTTTTAGAATTTTTAATAATATGCATTAATCTGCATTTGTTGGCTCATTGCTGTCTTTTTTTTTAGAATAAATTGATTTCGATGATGCATTTTCAAAAGGCTGGCAACGTCAAGAAGCTATAATTGGCTTATTAAGTTAGCTGCGCCTAACTATAGTACACAGTATATAGATCAAGTCGTCAACTTATAAAGCTGACTGTTTTCGCTTACTTTATCAATTTAGTCTGGCAACACCAATAAGCTTTCCATTGGCTTACCAAGTAAGCTGCATCTGAGTATTGTATAAAATTTGATGTCGCTTAAGCTAAACGATCTTTCATGGTACAAAAAAAACAGTTTCATTTCAAATTTGTCTGGCAGCATTAACAATTGGCAGCGCCTGATTCCAATTTGAATAGAAATTGTTTTAAAGATACTCAATTATCCAATATTTCATAATTTTCTTGGCAGTATTCTATATAATCAGTGCTTAAAGTAAAGAAAAACTATGTATCTTTGGCATTTTTTATTCAAAATAAATTGATACCGTTATTGTTGTGTGTATGTATGTTTGTGTTTGTCTGTGGCTGTGTCTATGTTGTGGTTGTTGTTACAAAATACAGTGTAAATATTTTTAGGCTTAATGAGCTTATACAATTTACTCAATTTAGTACACATTAACGTACATATGCTATATGCTATATATGCTTAATTTAATAGGCATTACGCCGCATTGCGGTCGCATTTTCATTCAATTTTTTTTCTTTTCTTTTGTTTCTCATTTCATTTGTTCATTAAGTAATCTTTTTCAGAGAAATTATTGCTCTAGCTTACAAAGATGACGATCTCGTATATAAAATCAATGGACATACTCGCTACATAGTTCAAATATGCAGGGTTTCTCTTTTTAGTACAATTCAAATGTTTCGTTCTCAAGTTAATATTAAGTTTAAGTTTATATATATATATATATGTATATATAAATACGTGTATACTCTAATCATATAGGGATTTTGTAAAATCAATTAATAACTAAGGGGGGAGGGGCTACTTTAAGTAATGATTTGATATAATTAGTGTGTGTGTTGTGTGTTCAGTGTGTTTGTTGTGTTGTTTACTTTATGGTCGATCCATACGTTTTGGATATGATTTGGTGGTATGGAGGAAGCACTTGTGGGGCAACTATATAGGAATTCGGAACATGTACTATTATTTTGATTTCTTGTTGTTTTGTAAATGAGTTGAGTGAGCCATTCCTGTACTCACTATTCAGATTGGCAGCTGTATCGAGTAAGCATTATAAAAACGTTTGCTTCTTATCAACTAAATGCAAGTGAAGCTAGGTGCCCCCTGCTCAAGTGACTGTGTACTCAAGGGCATAGCCAATTAATGATATAAATGATATGACATAATACTAGGCGAACAACAATTTCAAGCACGAAAATGTGGCTTGAATGTTGGCGCCGATCAAATTTCGCAGGCAACGGGCAGTCATTATTAAGAATTTCAATGTGAACGGACGGCACTGGCCCTAATTAGAATCAAAAACAATTCGACTTGAAGCAGCTCAAGCCGAACGCGTTCTATTAGCTGCTCAAGGAACATATTTCTTATAGAAAGCATACAAACAATTCGAGCCTTGTGGCAAAGGGCAAAACAGCGGCTGGCCGCAGTTATAAATAAATTCTAAATGCTATTCTATAAAAAGGTTCGTGTTTTTCAAGCTCTTTCGCTTGTTTACCAAATTGTGTGTGTGAGTGTGTTTGTGTGTATGTGTGTGTATACATATAAGTTAAGGTACATACTAGATAAATTATATGCAGCATAGTGATTTTTGTTTTAAGTGTTTAGTTTTTTAGTTTTAGCTTAATTTGTTAGCCAAGAGTCGCATATTGAAATCGTTAATTGATTGTTTTACAGTTGTGTCCGTACTTAATACCGTTTTTTTTTTGTTAAATGTATTATCATTAATGTGGGCGGGGGGTTGAGTTGCACCTCAATTCAAATTTGGAGTTAACACGTTGATAATGTTGACATCGAGGGTGCGAAAGATTTGTTTGATTAAGATTGTAAATTGTTATCTGTTTTTTTTTTTTAGTTTTTCTTCGTTTTGTTTTTTTTTTTTTGTAAGAATTGATTAATAGTGATTATTGTTGTTGTTGCTGCTTTTATTGTTGCTGATGTTGCTGCTGCCGTTTCTCTTCCACTTGAAACATTTATGGCGACACATATGGCGGTGGCTTACGATAGGAGGGCGTTGCCGGTGATTTCCCTCGCACTTCGCGTCCACCGAGCACCACAGCCGGCGGTGGCACATACTCATCCACATCGTTGTCACCGTTCATGTTCGAGGTATTGTACGAGGGCGGCAACAGCGGCGGTTTCTCATCCTTCAGTATAACAGGGCTCTTATTGCCTATTTCGGGCTTCTCCTCGAACTCGTCCTGGAAGATGACGGGTATGCCCTTGGTGCGGAACGATTTGCGTTCCTCCTCATCGCCTGCACGTGTAAGCATGATATAAATACAAACACAGATTTGATGTATATTGAATTTCGCAACTTACCTAATTCCATTTTGCCGCTCTTGTGGCGGCGTCTATGCAAACAACAAGCTATGATCGAGGCCAGCAAAACCATGACCACAATTATAACAGCGGGCAATATAACAGTAGCTAGATATTCCTGTGGGAAGGTTGGCTTCAAGCTCGGCTCCTTGTTGCGCGGTGGTATATACTCGTGCTGGCTAATGTCGCTGTTCTCCGCATCTAGAAGCAAGTAGAAATACCAATAATAATATAATATTTTAATTAATTAATATGATCTATGCGTCTTCTTCACTCACGATGACATGCGGCAGAGGGCACGACCGTAAAGTTGGTTAGATTTAGCTCCGGTCCCAATGCCTTCTTCACGCTGGCACTTGGCATCATGTCGCTGCTCAGATAGATGCTGCGCGTGGCAGCCATTTCTGCGTCGGGACAGCGGTTGTGGGTCTTGTACAGTGAGACATTGTAAAAGTTGACAATGGTGCCATCCGAGTCGTGGTGCGTAGTAATGGAGCGCACATAAATCTGATTGGTATTAGCATCGCCGTGCAGCTGCGCAATGCGCTCCATAAATTTACGCTGCAGTTCCGCATTGAAGTTCTCGTGGCGTATGGCCAGATAAGCCTTGTACAGTATGGCATAATCCTTTTTGGGCGTGTTGGTGACGACCACAACGAGCGCATCGTTGGCACTGAGGCCGCCACTGTCCTCGGCAATGAGCAGATACTCCTCGGTGCCTATGTCCCCGCTCTTGGGTATGCCATAGAATTCCTGATTCTTTGAGTCGAACTGCAGCCAGTGGCGTGTACTGAGCTCTTTGTGTTCTTTCGTCTTCAGCGTGAGCGTTAGCTCATTATCATTGGGATCGTAGAAGGTGTCGCTGGGCACTTTGTAAACGAGCAAATGGCCAACTGAGGCGTTCACACGATCCACCTGATTGCGCGGCATCGGCGGCAAATTCTTGGCCATATGCGTCGTGGGCTTTATCTTAGCCAACTCTGTCTTCTGGCAAGTGCCAATCAACTGACCCGTTATAGACTTAATGCTCAGCAGTGGCTGCAGCAGATCATTCAAGCGCTGCACATCCAAGCGACGCACCAGATCATTCAACTCCGTCTCGGGGCATTCACTGGTGGGCAGCGTCTCATTGAAGTAGACAAAGACAGCACTCTGTGGCTCCTGCAGTGTCTGTCGTATCTCGCGCACCACCAGCGCCGAGCTGCCGCCATCCTCCAGCGTGTGGGCAACAGCCCTTATTAACTTCAGCTGCCAGTCAATGTTGTGACCATGCTTCTCGTTGAGGCGCACCGCGATGCTGATCTCATGGTTGATGGTGCGCACCGCACGATGCTGTTGCACGCTAATCTCCACAGTTTCCGTAACACTGGCATTGCCGGAATCTGTAGCCGAGAGGCGATACTGCCAACGCGACACGGTATCGTCCAGTGGGCTGCAAGTCGAGAAATCAAGTTAATTTATTAACTCGCCGCTTAGGAATTTATATTCTCAACTTACATTCCATAGAGCTCGCGCTTATCCGCATTGAACTGCAGCCAGGACGTGGGCTTCAGCTCGTGTCCATCCTTGTCGGTCAGCTCTAGGCGCAAATTGGTTTGATCTTCGGCATCGAAAAACGTTTCTTCGGGCACAATAAAGCTGAATGCCTTGCCGGACGTCACAGCCAGTTTCTGCAGGCGCATTTTTATGATCGGTACACTGTTCTCCTGCCGTGGCTCCACATAATCCGTGGAGGCATCTGTCGAGGTGCTCACCGCCTCCAGCTGAGGCTGCCGTGTCGTTGCTGCTGTTGCCAGCTGTAAAAAACAACTCAGTTTACTTAAAGTTTTGATATAGGTTGTGTGCTGAACTTACCTCATTGCTAGCCAGGTTGGGCACGGTGCTGTTGCTGGCGGCTTCAAGAGCGTCCAGAGCATCCGCTGCCTGGGAATTACAGAAAACTCATTAAATGACTTACGAACTGAACAATTAAAGCGACACGTCTTCTCATTTCTCTTATGTTTCATACTCGTTCATAATATGCTAAACAGATGGCTTTTGTATGCTCGCTAAAGATATTGCTAAGGGGTATATATATGTTCTATGGTTCTACTGGGAGCTAGAGTGACCAAGCTAGTTGGATTGTCTTTAGGATGAGTTCGATAAGACATGAACTAGGACAGCAACACAAAAACTTAGAAATTTATCACTAGAAACTTCAATTTCTTATAGTTTTTAAGCTGTTTTCTATACCATGAACGAGTATTGCTTAGTCGGCTATGCCCGACTGCAATGCATTGCTTGTTTTTGTTTATTTTTAGTGTCATGCTTGAATATTGTTGAGAGCAGGCAGAGTTTTCAGTGTAGCAACTATGGAGGGTGCCAGAGACACAGATACAGATAGAGATACAGATAGAGATACATATACAGATAGAGATACATAGATACATATAGCTAAAGTGACATAAAAATACATGCAATACCATGCGAGGAGAAACGCTGCTAATCAGCGCTGATTGGCATCCCATTTCAAAAGGATAAGTGCATTAGACGTAAACGTTGAAATCCCTTAATTGGCTTAACTAGTTGCCTTGGCTGGGGACTACAGGGCTGCGTGGGCATGGTGGGCATGGTGGGCGTTGGGCTAAGGGCTGGGAACATTAGGAGTCTTGTGCAGCTTATTATAGATATATGAATTTATATATATAAATATATGCTACTCTTATGCATAGCACACAGTGTCTGTGCGCGTGGACAGAAGTAGTTCACCTTAGGGCTAATCGAAAGCGTGCTGTGCGTCGTCGGGGCCAATTCGACCAACTCGATCTCGGCCAGCGTTGTACGCGGCGTTGTGGTGGCAACCACATCCGCATCCACATCCGCATCAGCCACATCCGTTGTGGTCAGCCAGGTGCTCGGCTCAAGCACATTTGCATTTGTCTGCAGTTTGCATTTTGTTTTTTTAGTTTTTCGAATGCAAAACAAAAATTCATGAGATAAACATGATGTAAGCAAGAAAAAAGGGTCGGCATATAAAATTGGGCCAGATCGAAAGTAAGCTAATATAAACTATTTAATAGGATTTGCAGTCTTAGACAAAATATCGCCAGGGACATATGAAACTAAGAATGAGGGAAAGGCAACGAATTGAAATTCCTGTATGAAAAATATGCTGAAATTTCTATATGTTCATTATGAATGGTTTATAGAAACCAATTGGAAATTTCTTAAAAAGTTTGCAGTTTTCTTAAGGGGCCAATATATCATTGAATATTTCTAAATCACTGACTTTTCTTTTAGGTGTATTTAGTGCAAATAGTTAGTAGACTTAAGAGCCGTCAATGCTGTTAAACAATTAGTTATGTAGCCTCAACCAACACCCTCTATAATATATATATACAAAAATAAACTAAAACTTAAGATATCTATACAAAAACTTAATTACAAACATAATCTAAAATAATAATATCTAGTTATTCATAGTTTGAGTGCGTCTAGGCCTGGAGCCCACACACATTTAAGTCCATAAAACACAATTCTCTATAGCTAAAAGTTGAACAAAGTACTTAAGTTTATATTTGCGCTATGGGTATTATTACAATTTGAGGTTAGATCTGCGGCAAAGTTGTACAACATCTGGATTATAACAATTATACAACAGAAACACATGTATATATCACACTTATACATATATATATATACATATATAGATAGTTTGTTTGAGTTGGGCTCTGACTGAGGGGATTTGGGCGGCGGCGACGACGTCGAGACACAAAACAGGAGACAAATACAGAAACACATACAGATACAGATACATAAAAGGCTAAGCAACAGTTACAATTGTCGCACAACGAGAGACATACAGAGTGACTGAGACAGAGATACACACACACACACACATATGCACACTCAGACACGAACACACACGCACACACACGCAGACAAAAGCGACATTACCTTTGGCGTTTGTGATTGTGTTGTAGTTGTTGTTGTTGTTGTTGTTGCTGTTGTTGTTGTTGGCATAGTTGCAATTGTTGTTGATGATGATGAAGAAGTTGTGGGGTACGATGATGAAGGTGATGATGACGATAATGATGATAATGAAGTTTCGGTTGTTGTTATTGTTGTGAGAGTATTAGCCATATCAAAGTCTATGACACTTGCTGTGCTTGACGAGACTGAGGTGGAGGCTATGATGTCAGGAGCAACAGGATGAGTGCTGCTGCTGCTGCTCCTGCTACTAGTGTTGCTGCTGGGGGCAGACGATTCGACAGTTTCAAATGTGGCTGCAATCGCTGGGGATGAGGATGTGTAAATGTTGGATTGGGACATGGTGGAGCTGGCGTCGTATGGTGAAAATGATTCAGACGGTGGTTGGGGATGAGTGGACGACGACGACGACGCTGGCAAAGGTGTGCCTGGTGTAGCAGGTGTTAAATTATTGTTGATGTTGTTGTTATTGTGGTTAGTGGTCGTTTGTGAGGTGCTCGTTGCAGTGTGCTCAGCTACATCAACAGCGTTGGCCGCATTGTCGACCTGATGATGGTGGTGGTGGTGGTGGTTGTTGTTGCTGTTGTTGTTGTTGTCAGCAGCATCTTCAGCTGCAACGTTTACCGTTGCCATGGAGCTGCTGCTGCCAGTTGTAGTGGTTGTGGTTAGAGGCAATTCCAGCTCCAGTTGCTGCTGCTGCTGCTGCTCGATGCTCGGTTTGAGTTCCAGCTCATTGCCAAGCTCATTTTCAGTCTCAACAATCACCGGCGCAGCGGGCACGCCCAGCTGTGGGAGCTCAACTTCCTCAACGTCCTCGACCTCATCGTCGACATTGAGCACCGGCTCCTTAATATTCTTCGTGTTCTCAATGGTCTTGCTAATGACAGACTCCAATTTGGAGACACTCTCTTCGATTTCCTCGTCCAACTTGTTTTCTGGCAAAGATGTAGCCGACGAGGTGGAGACGGAGCCCGTGTTCTCCTCTTGTTTCGACTGCATTTGCTCGTTCAGGGATTAGTTGTGTATGGATGGTAGTTGTTGTTGTTGTTGTTGTTAGTTAGTTTATGAATAATTAACATTCATATATTGCAATGGTAGTAACAGTAAGTAAATGAGCACAGCGAGAGAGAGAGAGAGAGATAAAGATAATGTAAATGTCAAAAAAAGAGAGAGAGAGAAAAGACGAGAACACCATATGATGAATTACATATACACAATGTTAAAGAATCGTTTCATCAAATTTAAATGATATATATATATAATATATATATATTAGATATATATATATGAGTATTTTGTGAACTTGTGTGGTTTTTGTGTGTCGTGGTTTTTGCAGTTATCAACAAAGTGCAGTAACAAACATAATTATGATCTTCCGTAACAGTTTATACTTAAGCGTATTGGTCTGTATAGTCATTTATAATTGGATATATATGGTACTTTAGTTATACATAATCCAACCAACAGTTAAAACCTCAGGTAAACGGATATACCACAAAAATAAAAGTAAAACCAAATAGCAGCCGAAGACACGACAATTCCCAATTTCAATTGAACACTCACCACGCCATGTTGATGTCGGTGAGCATGCGATGTGGGCATAACCGTAACCAGTTCACTGCAAATAAAAAATGTTTTATATTTATCTATATTTAGCGATATGTTATTTATTTTTATTGACAACACTTACGGCGTCTGTTCATCCTCATCATCTCCATAGTCATAGTCCTCCTCAATGCCGCTGCCCTCTGCATCACTGCGCTTTCGCCGCGATCTGCAAATACAAACCACAAATGAAGCAGTTTGTGAGTCAACTGAGTTTTAGAATACATTTATAAATAAACATGTATTTCAGTTTGCTTCGATAAGTTCAATAAAAGAGCAAGCGTAACGCAAAGCCAAGGGAAGCGCTTTAAAATATATTTTTTAGATATACAAATATATACTTAATATATATATCTAAAGCTGATCAGCTGTCTGCTTTGTTTTGTCTTTTACTGTCTCTTTTATTAAACTACATCGACTCTTATAATGATAATGATTATAATGATTCTTATAATGATTATCTCTCTTGTAAAACACAAATCTATATAATATTCTAAATTTTTCATTGATTCAATACATTCACTACATTCACTGCATATAGCTTTCCCTTATAAGCTACCTGGACTTCAATTCCTTGCGCCATATAAACCACAGTCCAAAGTTCTCCTCCGTCAGTGCGCCGATGGTGCCGTCCTTGACTTGATGTCCTATCTGCTTGGCTATGGGCTCACCCATGCTAAAGTAACTCGAACCACAGCCGATCTGCGCAAGATTTGCAAGTAAGATTAGGTGCACACATCGTAAAGCTAAATGCATTTAACGACATACCATAAAGCTGGCACGTCCCAGACGACGATTCACTGTGTCCACATGCTTCTGGCCCTTGCCGCCCTTGCGCATGGCCAGCTTATGCATGTTGCCCAGCTCCCGCTTCGTCACCGAATCCAGCGTAATGAATTCCTGCAAATGCAAAGGCGCGGCGTGCCACTTGAGTTTAATCTTTCAATACGATGTATTCAGTTCGTTGTCTTACCTTGGGTATGGCAAAGAACTTGGCCAGCTTGGCCTGGACATGCATACGCTTGGGTACGCTTAGCTCGCTCCAGTCATGCTTGCGCAGCAGCAGCGAGAGCACAATCTCAGACTGTGCCTGCTGGCAACGCATCAGGTCCGTCACATATGGCTCCTGCTTGTAGGCGGGCGCCTCTTTGGGCTCTATGACCGGCACCTACAAAAGATACCGCAAAAGAGTTCAAGAGTTTAACAACTGGACAGAGTGAGGGGCAGCTAGTCATTGTCGGCGTTTTCAAGTGAAATGTGTCAGGCATCATCAATCAAAATTAACAGACAAATGACAGGCCTCAGTTGCCGTCACAGTTGCTGTTGCTGTTGCTGCAGTTGCATTAGCTTCTGCAACGGCAGCAGCAACAATGCAACGCATTCTATGTTTGCTGTCCCCGCCGCCCGTCTCACCTGAGAGTCGTTCACATTGAAATCCCGTTCGGCGCTCGCTGCCGTCGCTAGCAGCAAGCATAGCAATAAAATTGGCAACGTTGCGCCTCGATTGCACTTCAGTGATAACACTGATGGCCTCATGCTTAACAGCTAAATCTATATAGACGACCGACTTCTATATAGAATACAATTTCAGTTTCGTTTTCGTTTCGGTTTGTTAAACAATTCCAAAGACTACCAGATACAGAGATTAGATGTGAGAGGGGAAAGTGAAGCTATTCGACTCGTTGCTGCCGTCGTTGTTGTCCCTTGTGTTGTTGTTGCTATCTTTGTTGTTGTTGTTGTTGAAGTTTACGTCATCTGCAAAAGAGAAGCATACCATAAATTTTTATGAGAATTATGAATACATATTTGACATATATAAAAGCATAAAAGGTCTCGCCTCGTTATGCTCATGTTAATTAAGTGCTTAATTATCATTACGATATATAGATAGATATGGATAGTCACAACCAATTGGGTCAGCGACCCCATACCACACACTCAATTTGTAACCCATTCATGAGCCCAACAAAAATTATAAATGCTTAGGCAACTGCTCTACGTATACGTAATTAACATAAACAACTGTTTTTCACATTTGTTAGCGTCATCGTTGTTGTTGTTGTTGTTGTTGTTGTCTTTCCCACTCAAACATATTCGAGTGTAAATTAGCGCCAGATCAATATGAACTTTGGTTAAATAACATGAAAATGGAAAGTTGTAAACAAATGCGAGTATCTTAAAAGGCCTAAATGAGCGTTGCATATTTGGAAGTTAGTTTTTCTCTTTAGTTCTAGCTTTCTAAATCTCTTTGATTGAACCATTTCCGACTCTCAGCTGAAAGTGCCAGCTTTATAATTAACCAGCTGTTCATAAACTATATTATACTAGTTTATATACTATATAATTTATATACACTACTATATAGTTTTTTTATTTATGTATATATTTAGATATTATTAGATATAGCGTAATTCCCAAAGCTCTTAGCACTTCTAAAGTATCCTGGAAATCAAGTCTGCTTCAGTTCCAATCGTAGTTCTTAGCATCGACCTAACATGGGTCTCTGCAGAAGTCGAAGTCTGTGATGTCTTTTTTTTGAACCATTTTTGGAATTAGACAAAAGTCAAAGACGAGCCAAGACACATCCAAACAAGACGAATTTCAAAATGGACCAACTGAGGGACATGAGTACCAACATAATGCCACAAATATACTCATACACTGCCGATCAACCAAATAGACTCAACATTTTATCATTTTTGGTTATTTTCGCTTTATTTAAAATGTTGAGTCTATTCGGTTGATCGATAAAAATAACGATTTATTAAGGTGCCTCAAAAAGAAAATTTATTATAATTTTTACAGTTTTATGTAGAGCGCTAATTTTTGTTTTGCTTACTCAAGAATTGAGTAATGAATAAGAAAAAAATGTAGTATGACGTTATATTGTTATCTTTCTTAATAAATCGTCAACTTCCAAAAAAAAAAATTGTGTGGTTGATCGGCAGTGTACGTAAGCCACAGATATTCCAAACTCGAATGTCTCAATTGAAGCAAAATTTCAACTGATACTTAAGCTTTGAATCTGTTTTTTAAGTAAAAGTTTCATTTAATAAATATTTTAAGCATGCCAAAGATAAAAGAATGTCTCATACTTTCAAGTGAAAGTGCATGAGAGTTTATAGATATATATATATAAGTAGACATCTGGTAGCTGTTTATCAAAAGCCTACGCATGCTTGTCATGTTTGATAAGATTGTAAAGCAAAGAAATTCCATTGATAAAAGCATATATATTCGTATATATATTTATATGTGGTCAAAGTCGTTTAGTTTAATCTGTCTAATGGCGTCTACATTCCATTGAAGCTAGGCTTATCAATAGCTGCGTCTATTTATAGAGCAATCCCAGCAGAGATCCCATTCCCAGCCTTTTTTTGAACAATCATTCAACATTCAACGTTCAACGCTTCCTTCGAATGAGGCCACATATGTTGCACCCGAGTTCGCCGACTCAAGAGTTTCGCAGTGAAATTCATAATGGGGCGCGAGTGTGGAAAACTGACTACGGATCTGTGGAATACCAATAAAAATTGGAAACGTCTTAATTGAGGCATTAAATATGTCAACGCGCACAGCGAAACCGACCAGTTCGCGTCGAGTGGGGCCAATTAATGATAAATGCAACAAGTTGAGAAAATTATCAAAATTACGCACAGCTGGAAGCATTAGCTAGGCTCTAGCACCTAGTGTAAATATAGAGAGATATATGCGCTACAAGAAATTGTTGTATTTTTATAGAAATTTTATGGCTCAAATGCATTTGAGTTAAGATGAAATAGAAATGGAAGAAGTAAATGAATATACATCAAATTCAATTTTTAGACTAACTAAATAGATCATAAATACATATATATTATATACATTTAACTGTTGGAAGCTAACAAAAGTTTTTCAGTCATTAATCAATCAATTGATGATTCAATATATTCTCTAGCTGTAAAGTTAAAAGTAGAAAAGTAGAAAGATGACGCATCTATAGTATAAATACTGTTTATGCCTTTTTAGTATTAAAAAAATACTCCATATAACAACAGCCAAGCTTAACTTTGGTTTAGCCTTACAGGGTAGCACCTAGTTGAGCATACTTGAGTGAAGCACAGGCACTTCTACTTGTCGCACTCTCACAGCCAATTTGTTTGTTTTCAAAGTGGGCAACAATATTAATTGAACAGCTCGTTTCGTCTCCTGCCTGGCATAGCAATCAGTAGGGACCGGAGGGAATATGGAGAGATGAAGAGAACGATACTGGAAAGAAGACTGGGCACTCGATACTCTGTTCAGGCAATATGCCACAAATAGATGAACTTAAAATGCAGCCAAGCATGCCGGGGCCATCAGTCAAGTTGGCAGCAGTTTTGGCATGAATGAGAATGAGGCACACACACAGAGAGACAGAGAGAGAGAGAGAGAGAGAGAGAGAGAGAGAGAGAGAGAGAGAGAGAGAGAGTTGTTGTGGGTGTGCGTACTCCTTGTTGTTGTGTATGCAAATGAATTAGCATTGCGCCAAATGCAAAACAGTCAAAGACAACGCACACAGAGAGCGAACGAGAGAAAAACAATATACAGAACTAACAAGAGAAACAAGTTTTCTGCATAATGAGTGTGTGTTGTGTATCCATGTCTAAGTGTGTGTGTGCGTGTGTGCCTAGGCTGCAACTGCTGCCATAAAGGCAAAGTTCAATGGAGTCGAGAGTTCAGTTCATAAATTGAACAAACAAAAGCAAACTAATAAAGGTATAAAACCATAGACATAGAACAAAAGGCGCCAATCTATAAAAACAGAACATCATCATGAAGACGATGATGGGCTTGCTAGGGATGTTGCATCTGCGCTGACTCTGTTGAAGCTGTGGCACCCACACGCCCAGCGCTCTCTATTCAAGTGCCGCAAACAAAGACATATCGCTATCTATAATGTGATTAGCCATGCATTTAGTGCTGAGTGGCACTCGTTGGATGTTGCATGCGGCATGCGGCAAGCTGGCTGCCTGGCTGCCTGGTTGCCTCACTGCCAACTGTCCAACTGCCTGCGGGCATTTCATTATCTCGTCCCGTACGCTCCACATGCGTCCAATGGGCCAAAGTGCAGCCAATTAGCTTTACATTTAAGCGACTTCAAGTGGGCGGCAAAGGTGCTGCTGCCTTCTAAATAGCTATAAATGTGCGTGTGTGTGTGTGTGTTGTTGCTGTTGCTGTTGCTGTTGTGGCTGCTGCTACGTGACACAAAAGTGTTGAGTCTTTGGCCCAACTTTCAACAAAGAACTTCTTTCTTTAAGCAGCCCACAGAGTCAGGCGCATAAACAAATTTATTTTCATTATGAACACACGCACACACAGCTCACACACACACTCTTCCAAACACACACAGTTCATGGGTCTCCAGCTGTAACTGCGCCTTCTTATTGGCCGCCTTTTGTAGCTGACATTTTAAAACTCTTTTTTTTTGACGCGGCTTACGCAGCAAATTTGACTTATGTTTCTAATACCCTGTAAATGTGGCAGTTATTGGGTAGTATGTGCAGGCAAATATATGCGTACATAAGACATAAAGTATAAACTTTTAGCACATAACAGAATTTATACAATTGCTTCAATTAATTGTAGTAAATGAAAAGCGCTTTCAGGCCATAAAAAAGAAAGTTGAACCCAAACTTTATTTAATAACAAAATAATAAAAAGCAATTAATCTCACATATATATATATATATTATATATAAATTTTAAATTTTTTGCTGCATTTTTCATAGCAAGAAAGACTAAGCTTTGACCTTATCTTTTAGCTATATAAGAATAATAAATAATAAATAATAAATTTTACTTTAACTTCAATTTTTTGCAATTTTTTTAAACAACTAAATCAAGGGTATTTTCCGGTTCACACCCATTGAGTACCCTTTTTTACTGCTTATAAATTATTTCATATACGTGTGTATTTCATTCCAAGAAATAATAAAAAACAATTTCTTTAAGTCATGCAGTGCAGCTTTCACCCTTCGCTGCCCACTCCCCTGCCAAACCCTCTCTCTCTTTCTCTCTCTATACTCTCTATCTCTCTCTGTCTTGCATTCTGTCTCGCTTATTCTGTGTCTTTGTAGCAGCTTTAATTAATTCGATGCTCCGCAATGGGCGCGTCTCCAATGAACGTTTAATGGATTGTTTGTTGCTCGTATTTTGTTTACGCTGCTGCCTGATTGAAATGAAATTGTTATATATACAAATACATATGCATATATATATTCAAACACACACACACATGTCTTTACACACATCTGTTTCACGTAATTCGTTTTCTATGACAACGCATATTTGACCCACAATCTTCTTGTTGAAAATAGAACCTCTCGCTCTGTCGCTCGCCCTCCCTCTGTTCTCTCTCTCTTCCAACTTTCTGTAATATGTGTATTATATCGCCAATGAACTGGAACCTAACCCCGGCAAAAGCTCGGCAAATGCATTAGTCCAAAAAACACATACATCTCGAAAAAACAGGCCACAATTACCAAAAATAGAACCCAATTCATTTTCAGTTTTTGTCGAGTTTTTTCTCTTTTCGTTTCTTCAATCAAACTTAATGCCCGATCGGACAGGCGTGTCGCATTTGTTGTGCTCATAACTCAATAAGAGACAAAAATGAAAAACGAAAATCTGTTAAGTTATGCATATTTTGCTGAAATTTAAGGAGCAGTCGCTGCAACTGACGCCTAAAAAATACATTCAAGACAATTTTTTTCAAAAAATATGTTTATTTTTGC